TAACTATTAATTAGATTAACTAAGAATTTTTTATGTAGGTTGTGTTTGGTACGACATGAAAAATGTTAAAAGTTTTTAACTTATTTTCTTGTATTCAGTAGGTAAGCAAAAACTATTATCCTAAAAGCATTTGTATAAATACTATGAAGGTGGGGATAGGGAGGTAGGGATGTCGAATGGTGGGGATGAGGGCTATGGCGTTAAGGTAAAGATGAGGTGTCTTGGAGGGCGGAGAGGACACAATCAACATGAAATGTCACGAGTGAAACTTATTTTTTCCTATTTTTATTAGGAAATTCACTTTCCTCATTTCTTAAGGAACTTATTTTCCTAGAGATCGAACACTAAGTATAACATAACTCTATATATGAAGCTAATTGAGTGTTTTTTTTTTAATACAAATCAATTAAAACATATGTTGAAATGAACTTGGAGAAAGTTTCTTACACCATTACTTTCGGTGTTTGAGACTTATTTATTATTTATATGATCTAAGCAAATAGGAATATTTTTACAAAAATACTGTCATTTTCGTAAACTCCAAATTAATGTTGTCGAAACTAAGTACTAGTACAACGTACAATAAGTACTACAATGACTCTATTAATTTAAGCTAATTAATGCCTAGGTACGTAATGCACATACTCTCTTGATTGTCGGTATAATAATATGCTGTTTTGTTTAGAATTTAGATCGTATATACTGTCTTTCAATTTACTATCGTTGTGTGTTGAGTGTCAAATTACAAATAAGGTCTACAACATATTTATATTTTTTCAAATCTCACTCGTAGAATTATATGAGATATGTTATTATTATTGTTATTTGTCGTTTTCTTTCAGCTTACTTCATAATTAATCGTAATTACTTGAATGTCATGGCCAAGTTATCGAAAGTAGACCAACAGAGATATGAGTGGTGATGAAGGGTGTGTTTGGTACGGAGGAAAATGCTTTTCATGGAAAATGTTTTTTTAGAAAATGTTTTCTTGGAAAACAAGTAGATTTTGAACTTATTTCTCATGTTTGGTAAGTGAGTAGAAATTTTTTTTCTGAAAATGGTTTTTAATGTTTGATTTATGAATGAAAAATGTTTTTGAGAGACATCTTTTATTTTTTTACTAGAGTAAAAAATGATTTATGAAATTGAAAATATTTTTTAAAAACAATTTTTTTTTTGGATGATGGTGAGGGTGGGGAAAGGGGAAGAGGTAGGAGTGAAAAAATAAAAATTTGAACTTGATAGTATTTTAAAAAAATAAAATTAATTTTTTTGGGGGGTGGGGGGTTGGTAGGGAGGTAGGAGTGCCGATGGTGGTGGGGGAGAGTTCAGGGATCCGTTAAAAAATTAAAATTTTGAAATTGAAAATACTTTTTGAAAATTGATGTTTTTTTCCAAAAAAATTGTAATTTGAAATTAGAGGAGAGTTTTGGAAAATATTTTCCTTAATTTTTGAAGGAAAGTGATTTTTCTTAATTTTGAGGAAAATGAATTAATTTGGAAAACATTTTTCAAACTTTTGTCCCAACCAAACATAACTTTTTAATTTTGTGATTCTAAATTAAAATTATGTCAAATATATCAAAATATTTTTTAATTTTATAATTTTTAATATGTCAAGTAAATAATTAAAGTTAAAATATTATCAAAAAATGAAAGGAGCCATTCAAACTTACTAATTAAATGCATGCATACCAAGTACCAATAACATATTTATTTGCATCAACCATACTATGATTGTATGCTAAATTTTTTTAATTTATTTTTCAACTGCTCCAACATACATATCAAAAGTTTTTTTAAAGTTTAGATTATATTATAATAGTGTTATAAATATTTGTTCTTTAGAGCAATATTTGTTAAGAGGATGATGATCTCACATAATTGTCCACTTTTGTTCATCTTCACATAGGAAAATACCACGAAATTACCAAAGATGACATGGAAATTGTTTTGTTTAAAAGAAATGACACGATAGAATAATGGTAACTGAGAAAGACGTCTACCAAGAAAACTTAATCAGGAGGCGATTGAATAAAATTAGTGATCTAAAATTAAATTTTAATTAGAGATTTCAAAATTACTCTATAAAATTCATATATTTTTATTTGCAGAGTATTCTTCTAAAATTTTAAGATGCAAAACGAAATCACGGTGGGTCATGTGTATTTTTTATTTACAATTCATTCTTATAGCTTTATTTAGACAACAGTGCTAAAACTGAAAAACGAATCCATCACAAAAAGAAAGAAAAAATGAATCTATGTGGAGGTGGAAAAATCATAAACAATGGAGATATATATAGAAATTTGAAATAATAATTGTATAAATAACGCACAATTATATGTATACTTAATAGAATTGGACATTTAAAACTATTTGCTTATTATACACAAAAATAATTTTAATATTTTATTTTTTATTACAAAATTGCTTACATTTAAAATCTCAGAAAATATTCATTTCCCAATAATAAAAAATTAAAGCATGCTAATACATCATTTATAAACTTTGATCCTTATAAGTATGAGTGCTCATGGTTCAGTTTGGATCGTCTATCCACGAAAGTCAAAATCAAATTAAAATTAATTTTGTCAGTTATTAAAATTTTTAAATCAAATCAAATTAAACGAAAAAAACAATATCACCGGTTTGGTTAGTGTTAATATGGTTCAATTTTTATTTATTTTTTAATTTGAAAATAATAAATTTGTTGAGGGCATACACATCTTGATAGACATAGACACCTATTATATGAACGGAAAACCACTGTGAATTCAATTACACAATAGTACTAGAGTTATTATTACACGAACAAAGTGATTTAATTCAGTAAAATTGTGTAATAACCTGATGTGAGGTAAGGTAGGTAAAAACTAAAGTAATGAATTTTGATGGACATGAAATTAGATTTTAATAGTTGGACTAAGAAAATGATAAAGTTAAATATTTAAGTTAATTAAAATTTAATAAAATACTTATATTTTACTTATGAATAATATATAAATGATTATAAAATTTATATAGTATAATTTCTCGGTTCGGTTTGATTATTTTTGCGGACTTTTTTTTGGTAAAATCAAAGTCAAATCAAATAATATCGATTTTCAAAATTTAGAACCTAATTGAACCACACCAACAATCAATTTTTTAAATCGGTTTGATCCGAATTGCGATTTGATTTGATTTTTTTAACCATAACCATGAACCGCCCTACTTATAAGATCGAGAACTTTTGCTGAATGAAATATAAATGTGAGGAAATCTTTCAACAATTTTTTAGAGTAAATTTTAGGTTTACCAAACATAAAAGTTACATTTGTACGATATAACTATAGTTTGCATAATTGTGCTTCATAACAAACTTTATGTTTGCTATGGAGCATCTACAACATCTCCATTTGTATAAATCGCAAGCAATATCTCGTTTTGTATAAAAGTATAGCTATTGTATATGTATATCGGTTAGATAATTGTATGTATGTAATTATTGTATATTTATCAATGATTGTGTTTGCATCTCTGCATAAAATTTGAATTAGTATACAATTAAATCAAAATAAAACATTTGCATATTAAATCTCTCTCTCGCTCGCATTATACAACAAATAATACATTGTAATTTGTATAATTGTGTTTTTATAAAATGAGAAAGAGATAAAAACAAAATATAATTAGTAGGGGAAATATGTATTTGTATAATTATAAGTGTATAAAACGAAAATATATGTATTTGTATAGACAATTTTCTTTCGCTTTATATAAATAGAAACACAATTTATACATATGCATTTGTATAAAGTGAGAGAGGCGAGGGAGAGCGGAGAGAGAGAGATATGGGAGAGTGGTGATCGATATTTTTGGGGAGAAAGATGAACGAAATATGTATATATACAGTTTTCTTTCGTTTTATACAAACACAAACATAATTTATACATTCGTATTTGTATAAAGTGAGAGAGGCGAGAGACTAGCTAGCGAGAAATCAAGAAGTAGCAAGAGAGGCAAATAGCAAAGTGTTTGCTAAGGATTAGAATTAAATAAAATTGTGGTTATAATATTTAATTTTAATTAATAATTTGCTATATTTTCTATTATTATTTTTTTACTAAAGTATGTATTGATATAATATTCTTTATGTACTGATGTAATATTCTTCGTCAAAAATGGCATAGCATATTAAATTTTCAAAATATTTGGTCAAAAATACTAGGCCTATTATTAGTTAACTTACATAGTCTATTTCCATGTATGACATTATGACAACAAAGCATCAATTAGTAGTGTTTCTTCATTAAGAAAGTAAATGTTTAGTAACAAAAATGGAAAATAGTAAACTAAAATCAACTAAACTAGAGTAAGGATGGGGGGTGATTTTTTACAATAAATAAATAAAAAATATATTGCTATAAAAATGAATGTTGTCGATATAGGTAATATGCTGTTATAAATTGGTATATTATAACATAAGAAATCATTTTCTATTATTATAATGAAATATTATTATAAATAATAATTATTATAAAGTAATTTAAATTTATTAACTTTATTCTTAAGTCGTTCCAGTAATATAGCGTTTTGTGTCAGAGAATTAATAAAGTTGATATATGTAGTAAATTTTGAAGTGTTTTCCGTGTCAATATGCACTAGCAAGTTCTTTGATTCGATGTGACCTGGGGTCGATATCTTATGTTATGTTAATTAAGTTTTAAGGCACTTAATGGTACATAACAAAGAGCACAAATAGTCATTAAGAAATCTTAAGTGGGGTTGTTTAACCAAATTTGTTCAATTAACAAATGTTAGTAGATCATTAAATAATCATTTTACATGGTAAGGGTGAATGCCACGTATATAAATCTCAGATGATTAGATTTTATAATTGCACAACTATTATATTAAATTAATCCATCTCAACATTTTTTTATAAAAAAAAAAATTAACTTATCCATCTTTTCCTCATTATATAAATTGTAGTAGTTCTGTTCCATTTTCCAGTCTTTTGTACGTTAAAAACATTGAAAAGAAAAGTTGTCAAATTAACACAAAAAATGGCTGCAAATGATGTGCCATGTTGTGAATCTATGTTTTGGGTATACTTAATTATTTGTGTATCACTTGTGTGTTTTGCTGGACTTATGTCTGGATTAACGTTAGGACTCATGTCTCTTAGCCTTATGGATCTTGAGGTTCTTATTAAGGCTGGTCAGCCAAATGATCGAAAAAACGCGGGTAGTCCTTGTTTCGATTTAATAATTATATTTTACTTGCTAGTTCTTACTTAAAAAAGACGCGATTGTCCAATTAAAAGTTAGTCAGAAACGTTTCTAATAAGTCAATTTAGTGAGTGAGTGAGTGATGTGATGCCACTTTTGAGTTCTAATTACTCTGTTTCTAACTGATCACAGAGAAAATTTTGCCCATTGTTAAGAATCAGCACTTGCTCTTGTGCACCCTTCTAATATGTAACGCCATGGCTATGGAGGTACGCCAACTATGGATTCAGACCCTACAACGTCTAAATTTTGGATTCGTGACTGATTTTTAGAGTACCATTTTTTCGAGCTGATTAATGTTTTATATTATTTTCATGAAACAGGCTCTTCCAATATTCCTTGATGCTTTACTTCCTGCATGGGGTGCTATATTAATATCAGTCACACTCATACTAGCCTTTGGAGAGGTTATTTCTCATGAATTTATGTTGGTTTAGGTATAAGATTGAGCGTTTGAATACCTACTAACAATTAAACTTCAATATTTTTGCCTCCCACAGATTATTCCTCAGTCCATATGTTCGCGCTATGGACTGAGCATTGGTGCAAGATTGGCACCATTGGTTCGTTTGCTCGTCATAGTTGTCTTCCCTTTATCTTACCCCATCAGTAAGGTATAGAGAAATAAAAAGATTTTACAAGTTAATTTAACCTGTTGTAGCATGTAACATGCCTTATTTTCTAAGTTATTTGATTCCATTTACTCCAATAGACAGTTGCTTGTAGTTTCTATTTCATATGACTATGTAAAACTTCCATTATACAGTCAATGTATGTAAAAAGTTGTTTATTTGTTCACTTGGTCTGATCAGTTGTTGGATTTACTCTTGGGGAAAGGGCACTCTGCACTTCTACGCCGTGCGGAGCTGAAAACTTTGGTGAATATGCATGGTAATGAGGTTAGTATTTTGTACCTTAAATTCTCTTGATTTTAGGTTCCAAGACCAGACCAGCTCTGAATCACAAATTGGTTAGCAGTCTGAGGCTTATCTAAGAAAAGTTATTTATTCAATGCTTTCGGTTCAATTATGCGCATATAATAAGATCAATACTTCTAAATCCTGGATTCGCCTCTTGATTACAGGCAGGGAAAGGTGGGGAGTTGAGCCACGATGAAACAACCATAATTGCTGGAGCATTGGACCTGGCTCAGAAATCGGTTAAAGATGCAATGACTCCCATGTCCAGAGTCTTTTCCCTTGATCTTCATTCTAAACTTACCGAGTATACTACTAACTCCGCCAAATTTTGCCTAGCTAGCTTCAATTAGCAGATCATGTTTATATGCATAATAATAACCCGAATAATGTTTGATGGTTCTCAGTGAGATGATAAATCTGATAATAAGCAAAGGCCATAGTCGCGTACCTGTATACTCTGGTAGTCCAACAAATATTGTAGGCCTAATCTTGGTAAGTTTTTTTTTCCCCAGAAACTTTACTAGTAGTACTTCAGTTATCACTCTGCAACATTTTCATTGCATATTTAACTATTCTTCAATTTCTTTACCATTCGTACAACCTCTAGGTGAAGAATTTGATAAAATATCGTCCTGAAGATGAGGTGCCAATCAAAGATCTCACTATAAGGAGTATACCAAAGTACGACACTATTTACTTCTTGCATTATTTGATACTCTTTTTCAAGCTGTTCCAATGTCAGGGGTTGATTTTGCTTAGACATGAGTCGTGACTTGTAAGAAAATACTCGAGCTGATTTCTCATATAGTCAATTAACTAATAGTTATTATCTCAGAAAGTCACTTGAGAATTCAACACCAAAATAGTTAAAATAAAAGTCAGTCCACAGTGAAACGGAAAGTTGACTTAATCTTTATTTGATCTCCTGCAGAGTCCCAGATTCGTTACCATTATATGATCTTCTTAATCAGTTTGAGAAAGGGCACAGCCATATGGCTGTAGTGGTAAAGAGTAGAAGGATCACTAAGGAAACTGCGGAAAATGCCACTGCTAAACACGATATAATCAAGATAAATATCCTTCCGGCCAGTCCAATTCAACAGCTTCATGCATTTGAAAAGGGTACGTTATACATATTAGTACAACGAACTTAATTACTTATTTCATGTTACAACATACCCAGTGTAGTCCGACAACTTCTGCAGGTAAAATTAATTAGTGATAAATTGGAATGATCTTTAATTTTAGGAGAAGAAGCAATTGGTATCATTACAATGGAAGATGTCCTTGAACAACTTCTGCAGGTAAAATTAAAAATCCATGTTTGTTACGTAAGTTTATTTTATGTTTTTTCTTAACTGATAGTCAATTACTGATTTGTCTGCAATAACTCTCAATTTTTTCTCCTGAAGGAACCAATATACGACGAGACAGATGACTATGTTGATGTTCATAACAAGTATGTTCGCAATATCTGTTTACATTTGTCTTAATCAATCATGATTACATATTGAACAATACACATTTGCTATTTTTGTGTCCAGAATTAGGATCAACATTCCTCCATCGATGATATTTTCACCTAGACGATCTCCAGGAGCAGTGGCAACAGGGGCTACTAATTATAAACCAAAGTGGCAAAGTCCAATAGCGTCTCCAATACATTCAAGCGCTCATCAAAGTCCTATGTTACGGTCACCTGTTTCACCATACGTGCAGTCACCATATATTGCCCCAAAACTATCCCCTGCACACTTGAATAGTACAAATTCTCCAAGCAGATTTTCACGCAGCTCTCCATCATCTAATGATCAGGTACCTGTAGTAATTATCATCTAAGTGATCTGACGGTGAAAAAGAATCTTTTATATAATGTCACTAAACTTTCTAAAAGATTCATGAGTACCTTAACATTAACCAAAATTTAAATCTGTCTCAGGTTTTTCTGAAATCTTATGAGAAGTTGGACAAACACGGAGTTTAGTACTTGAGGAGGATATTCTGGATGAATATAATTTAGAGATGCATGTAAGAAAGAAGAGGATATTTTATGCAACATCATGGATGATACCTTTTCAATTTCAAGTTTGCAAATATATTTTCTTTTAAACGCCTTTCAAAAACTGCATGCACAACATGATTTTGTTCATCGGTGCAGTTGAATTTGTTAACATGGCTCAAGGAAAGCAGATTGAGATAACCAAACAATAAGTTTGTTTATGCTAAATTGATTATAAGTAGACGTGATTAAGATAATAGGAGATAATTAACAAAGAATTATTCATATGGCAATATGAAAAGTAATGAATTAGATTTAGGGTCGGTCAGCTCGTACGCTTTCAATTAAAGAAAATACTACAAGTATTAATTTGCACATACCGTTTAGACATAATATTTGATAGAATACCAGGTCAGTCATCTTTTATTCTAGAAATTGTAAATTTGCCCTTTCCTCAATTATATTATTCGTTATAAACTGCCAAGAAAAGGTGATGTCGAATTGAGCAAAACTAAATTTTAGACCTCCATCAAAACTAGAGTTGTGGGAGCTATCAGAAGACAGTAAAAAAATCTATATACAAGGTAAGCAAACAGAGAGTCTGGCTAATCCTTGGATGCAACTCGCTGCTTCTTCCATTTATAAGCAGAGTCCAAGAGTTTCATATTATTAGTAATCTGCTCAGGAAAAAGATAGTCTATATACTCCTCGTATGCTGCTGGACCTTATAAGTTATATTTATAACTTGTATCTTGTAAATATTAAATAAATAAAATTTGTAATTTTAAAAAAGTAAATTAAATTACAAAAATTAAAAAATATCAATTTAATTTATTTAAATTTGTAACAAATTACAATTTCAATTTACAACTATTAGTAGAGTACATAGCTTACGCAGCCACCTTCTAGGAAGGGTTCTGTTTCAGCTGCGTGGGCGCTTGATGGCATGCATGGCTTGTCCGTGCTACGCCGTTGGGCGTTTACAAAAACACGTCGGCGACGTCGACGGGTCGAGTGGGCAACGGCAGGCGGACGCCGAGGGCGTCCTGTGGGCTTAGTAGGCGTGCCCGACGTCGCTCGACCGTGTGTGCTGCCCAAAGGCGATGATGGCATCACCAAGCTCACCAAAACTGTTTTCCATATCTATCCATTCTTCGAGAAGTATTACTCTTTCTTCCTTCAGTTCAGGTGCCGAATTTATCAGGTAAGAAACGGCCCTCTCAAACACATCTCTGGTATGTTGCAAGCACTTCTTTTTCTGATTGATATCTGAACTCATAGCTGAAGCCTCAAATTTAGCGTAACTTAACCACACCTTTACATGTTTTGTGCGGTTAAGAAGTCTTTCATATAGTGCTCTTGTTTTTTCAAGTTCACCCTCAGAGATCTCAAAGTCGATGTAAGCCTTCCATAGTAACTCGGGAAAATCCAGTGCAGGTTGGTCAATTGCAAGCTCAAAAACAGCTCTGGCTCTCTCTGTTTCATACAAGGACTTCTCTAACTCAGCGAATTTGCTCCAAGCATAGCAATTTTCAGGTGAACATTCTAAGTACTTCTCATAAAGATTTCTGCAACGGTCTATGTTCCCAAAATGCAGCTCTATCTCAATGTACTTCTTAAATATCTTGTCTTTAGGAGCCCTTCCAATTGCTTCTCCAAGTAATAGCCGCGCCTCCTTGAGTCTTAACTGACGAATCTCAAACTGGGCAGCCAACAACCAAATCTTTGCAAATGAGAACTTGTGATGCGGAATCAGCTTAAGACACTCTCTGTAGACATGTCTGGTCCTTTCCATGTCTTGTGCATCAAGCTCTTCATATAATGCATAATTAATCCATAAGTAAATGTATCGCTGCCAATACCGCTTCTCTTCAGCAGGAGGAACATTAGCAATGGCTCTCTCATAAACCTCTCTAATCCTCTCTTTATTTCCAACGCTCTCTTCTAGACGAATATAATCAAACCACGTATCATAGTGCCTTGGATGATCCACATCTCAGGGTCAGGCGCCGATGAGCACATTGAACTATCCATGTGGCTGAGAGCCCTCACCGGTTACGTGGATTCTTCTTCACTTGATCCTCATATTGAAACCTCCTTTTTCCAACTATAGCATCCTCAATACCTTCCCTATCACCATACTGCTTTTCAAATGCCAGAAACTTGCTGTACAAATCCTCAGCTCGCCCTTTTGGTATGTGATCAAGTGCAAATTTATATATGCACCTTGCCCTGTCCGTCTCCCTACACTTGTCCTCGAACTCTGCAAATGCCACAAACAACTGTTCAGCTTCCTCATCGTCATCTGCAAACTTATCCACAGCCCTCTCATAACAATTCCTTGCCCTCCCAATCTCCCCATTCTTCATCTCAAATTTTGCAAACCTAATCCAAGCACTAACTTTGGGATGACACTGCACGAATCTCTCGAAAATTTCTCTTGCCCTCTCTATTTCATTATACCTCAACTCAAACTTAATGTAAGAGAACCACCCTTGCTGGTCCGGCATCCACTCCATCCACCTCTCAAAAATACCTCTTGCACCAGCTACATTGCCGAGCATCTCTTCCATATGAATATACTTGTACCACAACTGATCAACCCTAGGCAAACGGATAACAGCTCGATCCCATAGATTACGAGCATGATTAACAAACTTATTCTTCATCTCCATATGGACATACTTCAACCAGATGGTATGGTCACGGCTAAGTGCATCAATTCCAAGCGCACGTTCCCAGATAGAACGAGCACGCTTCAAGTCCTTGTGTGATTCTTCCCATTCAGCATATTTCACCCACACACTCTTGTTCCAGCCTACACGGCTGATTAAGGATTCAAATTCCTTTCGCCTGCGAAGGCGGTAATCAGCTAATTCAGTTTGGTCAGTGATTTTCTGTTTGGGCGGTCTGATTTCTGCCTCTTGACGTTCTCTAGCTTCCCGGAGGATCTGCTCAGCCGTGATTTGGATTGGGGCTGGGGTTTTGTTCTTCACCTGTGTAGCTCTAGGAAGCTTTGAAGCCATTGAATAGAATGGAATCGAATCTCAGTTAATTATGATTATATTGAAGAAATCTCTAAAGAAGCTGCACATGAAAATACGTTGAAGGAGAACTCTACTTATAAGCATACACTAAAAAAAAAACAAATAACCTATTCCAATATAAACTAGGAAAATCATATCAAATAATAAATTCTAATTGAGTTAGGATTACTATATTTTCTCAACTTTCCTTAATCATTCTTTAAATTTATTTAAATTAAATATAATTTAATATATAAACATCATCATGATGCCTTATTTAACTGCTATATTAAAATAAAATATTAAAGAAAACCCACATTACTACTTCTTTTTACCAAAAAAATCTGCATCTGTTTTTTCAGCCGCTCTTTTATTTTTTAAACGTTTTTATGCTCTTTAATTGCTGCCTTTCCCTTTTTATTGAAAAAACAATAGAATACAATCTTATAATCTTTTTGTTTTTCACTCAATATGATGGAGGTAAAAATTTCACGGGTGTCTTATTTTAGTTTTTCCACTTAAGTAATCTTTTTTTTAGATTCTTATAATAATAAAAATAATAAAAATAAAAATAAAAATAAAAGTAATAATAATAATAATAATTATAATTATAATTATAATAATAATAATTATTATTATTATTATTATTAATAAAATAATAAATAATAATAATAAAAATAACAATAATAATAAAAGTGATAATATAATAATAATAAAAGAATTAAGGGCAAAAATGTAATATACTTAGTCAACATAAAATGAATTTTAACTTTAAACTTACATAGCTTTTAGCTTTTGACTTAAAATAAGTCATTTTTTATTTAAAATAAATAACTTTGATATTTGTCAAACACTCTAATAAGTTAAAAACTAACTTTTAAGTCAGTTTGGCCACCTTTTAAGCCCTTCCAAACAGGCTTTTAGTCAATCAAGACAAGGTTAAGAATAAAGTTACTTCCTATTTGCGAAAAAGGGGGAAGATATGATTTCTTGGAACTGAGGTTTGAGAAAAGGTAAAAGTGACGTCTTTGGCCGACAAGATACGGAAGCGAGACTGAAATGTTTGGCTAATTCGTTTGAAAATGATTTTTATAAGCAAATTCTATTTTGCTAATCTTTTTTAAAAGTACGTTCGAGAGTCAAAAATTACAATTAAGGCAAATATTAATGTATTTTTAATATAAAAATATTTTACAAAGAAAAACTAGTTTAAACATCTATTACAATAAATTGAAATGTTGATATTCAAATTTTTAATCAATATGATACCTTTTTCGAAGGGTGAAATCTTTAATTATTTTTTTTTTCTTTTTTGTTCTAATCTTACAAAAACATCGTTGTTACCTTTTTATTTTTTTTCTAATTCTGCAAAATAATAAATAAAATAATAATACATAAACATAAATAATATATATAATTTATTAAATAAAAATAAAAATTATCAAATGAAACTTAATCAAATTTCTGAGATATGTTAATTAATTAATAAGATAAAAATAAAAATTTTAATTTAGTCTTGAAAAAATTGTTTACAAAACAAATTTTTTAAATTTCTTCACAACAACAGAAAAATTGATTCTGCTTTCATTTAAAACAGTTTTACAGATTTGCCAAACACCTAATTTACCAAAAAAAGTACCTTTTTTTCTCAAAACAAATGTTTATAGGCTCCCAACAACAATGTACAGGCTCTAAGTTTAGTAAATCAAATAGAAGAGTATTTTTAAGATTGTTAATAATTTGAGGATGAAATTAATAATTTACGTTAAGTTTTTAATGTTTTCAACTAACAATTATTTTTTTAGTTTATTAATTTTAAAAATGCAGTATTTATTAAACGTTGATGACATCTTCGGAAAGCCATATTCTCTTCACATACATCATTTTGTACTTGATCTAAGAAGTAACTCATTAAAGTGAAATAGCATGCTTTGCTCTTCATTCTAATTAGAGATAGCATGCTTCAATTGCTACAACAGTATTCTTTCAGTGAGTATGGTGCAACTTGTCATCACCAATCCTGAAAGAGAGCCTTGGAAACAGAAGTAGAACTCCGTTCTAGCTTTTCATCACTTTGAGAGGATGACCATTTCTTTCCACTCATTGGTGTTTCATACACCACGCTGTGTCTACCTTTTTTCCGCTCTTTTCTTTTCAGTTCCTTCTGATCTTCACACTTTATTTTAACAGACTTAAGCTGCTTTGGGGCCCAAACTCTTTGCAGGTCTGGCATCCTTGTGAATGATCCAAATCGTCGAGCCTTCTCTCTCCGATCACGAGCTTCACTTAACTTGCGGGCATGTTCCTCTCCTGTTATAGCTTGGGAGCTCCCATCGATGTTTTCTGGTGGTTGGCACAACTCATCCTCTGCTGAGACTGATAATCGCATGTTGTTGACTTCAGCCGTTTCATACCTCTCTTGCTTCTCCCTCCAGGACTGATTACTGTCCTCACTATTGAACAGAAGAGCCTGCTTTTCATCTTCAACACCAAATGGAAGTAGATCCATTTCTGCGTAAATTCTATTGACAACATCTTCGATAATGTTATGGTACCTGAATCATGTTGGATTTCCAGATTAGGTCCCAGATAACAGTACTATGCTATGGTAGAGCATGAATTTTCTCATCTATGAGGAGCAAACCAGAGCTAATTCTACTTAAAATAACAGAGTGATTGCTTTCAACTTTGATGACACAGAGATTGAAACCTCTATGCTTGTAATTCATTAACAGAAGTAGTGAAGGTAATGGAGTTCTCTGAGAAATTCAACATAACAGAACTTAGTTTTATAGTAAATGAAATGATTATCTAGTAGAAAAATGACAATTATATGGCCTCAAAACCATACATGTCAAAAATCCCTAAGCCGGTGCATGAAGTTTCTTTAAGAACCAAAGTTTTAAAAGAAGAAAAATGTCATGAAACAGAAAACTAATGAAGTGGATTCTATGATGATGAAATCCAAATAATCCTTGATGGTCTATAGAGATATGGTAGGTCTAATCTTAGATAATTATCCTATTCTTGTCTATGTCAGTAAGAATATAATTAGTGTATCTTGACAAGGAAAGAAGATGAGGAAACTTGTGCAAGGAGGATACGCTAGAGGCAGCAATATATAGTGAAGTAGGACGGATAAAACATGGAAACAAAATAATTGTTGTTGGTGAAATAGAAGGATTGGAAGACAGAAGACCTATTTGTCATGCTGAATACTATCTTTATCAACAAAAAAAAAAAAAAGGGATTTAAAACTTGTTGTAAGGCATGAATCAGATTATCACAGGTATAGGGCAAGAATGAGCTCTTTAGTTTCAAGCAAAACATTAACCTTAATCGAATAGTACGTTCAACGTAATCATATAGGCTAAGATCACCATGAATCCCTCCTTCAACAAGATATTGAATAATCTCTAGAAAGGAACAGATCTCTTTAACCAGCTTCTGCTTGGAGGACTCTTTAATACTCTCAGAAAAGGTTGATCCAAGGATTTCCATCCGAAGCAATATCTGCATTTCAAATCTTGTGAAAGTTAAGGATAAATGCACTTTAAGTACAACATCAATTCATTTACTTCATAAAGCTGAATTCAATTTGTAATAATTTATAAACAAAAGCAGGATGAAACTAAAGGAAGGATACTCTCGAACAGTATTTTCTGAGGTTGGACTGAAATCGGATACTTCAGAGGGATCATCGTGCTTCAGCTTCTCTTTCATTTCTTTGGGCTTTCTTAGTAGGATCTTCATAAGTTCAGGTAGGATAGTCTTGCAACATGAATCATTTGTTTTTGGAATTTGGGATTCACCTCCTACATTATCATCTATCTCATACTTTTGGGATAATGCGCGTATCGATGACTTCAATAGTCGTGCTGCTAAAGTTTGCAAGTCTCTTCCAGATTGTAGACCATGCTGGATTTTCTTTGGTAGATTACTGAAGAAGGCTTCTGCAGTTTCTGAGCATACAAGATGTGCATCTCCCTCCAGCATGAGGTTTGAATCTGAGGGAAACTGTGTAGAGAATGGCTGTTGCGTCTGTCTTTTATGTGAATCTGCAGCCTTTAGCAAGCAGGTGCTGGACTTCTTGATTTGTTTCATCCAGCACTTCAAGAACTTCAGCTTCTTTGATTTCTCAATTTTTCTGGCAAAACAAATATCTACCAGCTCAAAATCATTACACTCAAATGCTTCCTTGAGGAATGAACTCCAAGTCAGATTCTTTGTTGAACACTTCTTGTCCTTTTTTCTTTTTCCATTCCCTAGTGAGACATTGATTTCATTAGAACTGCCACAGGTCATGTCATTCATCTGCTTTAAAATTGAGCCGTAATTATGACCACCTTCTATTCTTGAAAGAAGAGCCAATTGTGCTGTCAAAGGCCTGAGAACACCTGTGATTGTACTTCCATTGCTATTTGATACAGTTACTGAAACCCAATAGCTTTCTTCATATAAGAAACTGAGAAGAATTTGCCACAGGACTGTAGAATTTCCTTGGGAATGCTGACCCTTTACTCCAGATAGTACATCAAGGACTCCATCAACACAAGTATCATTACGATAGTTATTTTTGCATCTGGCAGACTGCTGCACTAGAACATAACTAGATGAGCATCCTTCAATCCTTTCTCCTACATTGCACTTCTGTACAGCCTTGAGATGCATATTAAACGAGCTTTTACCAAGACAAGACCAAAATGTTTCTTCTCGATCACACCCTTCATTTTGCTTGTCTCCAAGTCCTAGTGTATTCAGAATATCTTCAGATCTAAGCTTAGGCAATGTTGTGATATTGAGCAATTCAAGATCACATAACTTGCATTCCAAAGGCTTTCCATTGACATCAAGGATCTCAAGATTGAGCTGTGCAGAACCTCTGTCAAATGCATTGCTTTTCAGAAAATCAAAAGACATCCCAATTTCAGGATATATCAAGCCAAAGGGAATCAGAGCAGAACCTAAAACAATGGAATCAGTTGAACTAATCCCCCAACCAAAATGTCTAATTCCATTCTCCAACATGGATGACCATTCACCTTTATCAACAAATTCAACCTTTCCATCATTATTTTCATCTCTCACGTCGATCCAACTAAAATGAATATTTCTATTATCAAA